GAATATAACCTCCTGCTACTGTGGGAAACTTCTATGAGTTAGAACATGTAGTGAAGCAAACAAAGCAAAGCATGACCATTAAGATTCATTAGTTCTACTCCCCTATGACCCAGCAATAGCACTGCTAGGAATTTACCCAAGGGATACAGAAATGCTGAGGCATAGGAGCACATGTACCCCAATGTTCATAGCAGCACTCTCCACAATAGCTAAAACATGGAAAGAGCCTAAGTGTCCATCAACAGATGAATGGATCAAGAAGATGTGGTTTATCTATACCATGGAATACTACATGGCAATGAGAAACAATGAAAGCTGGCCATGTGTAGCAACATGGATGGACCTTGAGGGTGTTATGCTGAGCGAAATAAGTCAGGCAGAGAAGGACAAATATCATATGTTTGCACGTATAGGAGGCTTAGGAGGAACTTGACGGAGGAACAAGGGGGAGAAGAAGGGCAGAAATGGTGGGGGAAAGGGAGAGAGGCAAACCATGAGAGACTCTTGAATGCTGACAAAAACTGAGGACTGATGGATGTGGGGGGGAGGGGGGATGGGCATGGAGGAGGGCACTTGTGGGGATGAGCACTGAGTGTTATGTGGAAACTAATTTGACAATAAACTATTTGTAAAAAAAAAAAAAAAGATTCATTAGTTCTATAAACATGCTAAACACCATATTCCTAGGCTAAAGGGTTAACTCAGCAGGTTTGGACAGCTCAAACCCTACACATTCCAAGAAAGGACTGGCTTTTGACTGGTTCCTGGAAGATAATTTCTGAGCCCTTATAATAGCCTGCCTGATAAAGTATTTTCATATTGTGAAGAACTTGGGCTATAACAGTTTGGCCTCCATGGGTCTACAAAACTGAATAGCTAAGCTCAGGAGGCTGCTGGGAGCCCTGAGCGCCAATAAATGAGTCCTGATAGGAATAGACACATAACCTTGCACTAAACTTTGCATGGTAGATGTAAATGCTCAAAATACTATAAAAGGGCTTGAATAGAAGACTGTATCAGTTGAGACCACTGTGTTATATTTCTTCAGATCATGAAACACTACACCCTAAGTTTCCAATAACGTACAAAGAGGTACCATCTCAAATGGACATATTATGTTGCATATCATCCTCAGAGTAGTAGTGGTTTGATAGAGAACTGGGAACAGGAGAATCATATACTTGTTAAGACATGTTGTCCATACCCTCTGCTCACTTACACAGATGAAGGTCAGAGAGCGACTAGCATCTTCTACTCATCTTTACGTCAAAAAGAAATTTAAGGCCGAAGCTACAAAAAGAGGTCTCAGACATCAATTTGGGGGCAGTCCTGCTTGGGAGGACTTCTAGGAAGTATAATTTTCTCTATAGAGCTCCCAGGAGAATCTACAAGTGACTCTTCCTCAGGTGTCTCTCCTTGACTTGAGGCTCCTTCATCTTTAACAGAGCTGTGGTTCAGGTTAATGACACTTAGCTGTTAATTTCACCCTGTGGAATGATGACTATGAGACCATCCCCTGCTCACATCATCACCTGCTTCTGTATCAATCCAGCTGCCAACCCTGACTTCACCTCACAAACCCACAGTTCATCCCAGGCCCTCCATTCCTACAGAGCCAGTAATCGCAGTGTGAACTATCTGCAGAGAGCTTCCCACATCACTCCCAAAAGGTTTCTCTGTGGACCTGCCTCTGTCACAACCGATACAAGTGAAAAGGATCTTGATTTGCTAATTCCAGGTAATTCCAGGTCCAACAGCCTCTAAGAACATAAACTCAAACTGAGAGAAGTCTCAGAAACATCAAACAGTTTCAACAGGCACTGGTTGGGTACATGTATAGGTTCTGGAGAGAGATGTTGCTCTTGGCGTGAGTCTCCCAACACAAAGAAGACCTAGGAATTTAACATTTGGGTCCCTGAAGCTTTGGAGAATTCTAGCCCTCACTCAATGCACATGCACTTTCTATGGCACCTGCTTCCTGGCTGAAGCTTTATTCTGGCGGGTGTTTGGCCCTAGGCTTGGTATATGCCTCTAGCTCACATTACTCTGAGTGATTAGATACTTGCAGACATGTTTATGTTTTTTCTATACTGCTCTGTGTGATGCTTTTATCTTGTTTTGTCAAATTGGGGATGAGATGATCAGGATTGGAGACTGCACACATGTTAGAAGCTTCAAAGAGTAGTTTGTAAGTTTGATTTTTCAGACTTAAGAAACACCATCCTTGGGATACAGCAGATCTAAGATTCCATCCATACTTTGATGGGCCAAATTTTTATTTATGTATGAATTAGAAAGAAAATGAAATGGTGACATAATCCTTTCTTTATTAATTAGCATTTTTCTTCTTGGCATTTTAAATTATTTTTAAGTTTGTTTATTTTTGAGAGAGACAGAGTGTGAGCAGCAGAGGGGCAGAAAGAGGGAGACACAGAATCTGAAGCAGGGTCCAGGCTCTGAGCTGTCAGCTTGACACGGGGCTTGAACCCACAAACCATGAGATCATGACCTGAGCCGAAGTTAGACACTTAAACAACTGGGCCAACCAGGTGCCCCTTAATTATCTTTTTAATTTCAACAGGATACAGAGTGATCCAGTTTTCACTTCTGACTAGTTTTCTCTCTTCCTCTTTCTGTCTCTCTGTCCATCTGATGGAAATGGAAAAGTAATGTGGCATGTTTTATACAAGGAGGAATAAATGCTGCATTAGGATACAAAAATGAATAATAAATAACCTAGAACTGCATCCAACAACATGCAGTGGGTGAATCACAATGTTGAGCAAGAGAATTCAGACACAAGAGTATATACTATGTGATTCTAATATGAAATAAAAAGCTTGCCAAACCAATTTTTGCTTTCAGAAATTTAGATAGTAATTATCCTTGGAGAATAAGAAAGAGAACACAAGAGAGCATGAAGACATACTTTATGATGCTGATAATGTCCTGTTTCTTGATCTGGATAGTTAAATAAATGGATGTGTTCAGTTTCCAAAAAAAAAATCCATCTGGCAGTACTTAGGCTGTATGTGCCTTTAAGTATGTATATTACAAAGAAGTTACTATTACAAAATCAGGAGGGCTTCTGCTTTTTTACTCCAATATGTAAGGAGCTTATAAGTGATCACTACCATCCTTACAATAACAAAAAGCTAAGCAAACTGAAAATTAATTAATAAGTCATTTCCCTCAGAGTATTGAGCTCATAGGGCAGACAAATGGTCTGATAACTGGAGAGACAGGCAAAGAGAATCACAAATAATCTGAAGTAGAAGCTGCTAGAGTCAGGGACTCTAGGAATTTATTAACTGCTGGAAACTGAGTGTGGACCAGCTTGAGAGTTAAAAACTTCTACAGGCCCCCACTTTTTTGAGTTTGACCTCTAGGAACACCACCACTGTCTCAGAGTGAAGATCAGAGGGAATTGCCCACATGCTTCCAGCAGAGGGAGGGGAAAGTAACCGTTGTGAAATATTTCTAGATATTCTGTTGTCCACCTGCCCGCAAGGTGATGAGGGAAACAAAGACGAGAAATGTAGTATAAATTAAATCTTACAGTTTGTAACCCACTGACAGACACCTGAAGAATGCAGAGCATGACCTTCCTGAAGCAACTCGTGGCTGTCTTACTTCCTTCATGTTTTTGTTTTATGAAAGACTAAAAGAAACCTTATTTTAACAGTAGCTAGTCCCTCAAGATCCTGAAAGTCTTGCTTCCAAATGCCTTAGAAACTTACTTTTCTCATACCCCCCTACCCACCACAAACCTAAAAATATGTAATCAATCACTCCTCACAACCCCAGTGCAGCTCTTTCTCCACCGCACCCTCACCCAGGTCTTGTCCCCGTAATTTAATAAAATCATCTTTTTGAACCAAAGACGTCTTAAGAATTCTTTCTTAGCCCTTTGCTCAAGAACCCCATCAAAGGGAAACTAATTTACCAGAGACTAACCAATGTGTTAGGAGGGAAATACCCAGCCCCCTCTAGCCATTCTTTGTCACCTAACTGGTTGGGGGAGGAGAGGTCCTGAGAAGCACTTGTGCAGGTCGCAGCTCAGGGTGGCGGGCAAACTAAGAGAGGAAGACCTAACCACACTACTCTAAAATGCTTCCCCACTCCCACACTTTCCTCTATATTAACATGATTCCGGTATAAAAATAGGATTAAAGCTGAAAAAAGAAAAACCGATGATGATCTCAACTGATCAGAAAATTATTAACAAAATACAACACGCTTTCATCATAAAAACAGTAAACAACAAAACCCTTGATAGTAACTTTGTGGATATCGACAAACTAATACTAAGGTTTATATGGAGAGGCAAAAGACGGACAATACCCAACACAATACTGAATGAGAACTCAGTCGAAGGTCTGACAAATAATCAGTCAAATCTTTATATATTACATTTCTCTCTTTGGTTATACTTAGAAAAGCTATTCCTACACCGATATTACAAAACATAAAAAATTTTCACCGGGTCACTTTTACATTTAATTAAGTCCGTGTTGGATATAAAGGTATTAATACTATTTTCACTCCTACTCACTATTATTAAATGGAACTAACACGGTGTAGTGAGAAAACCAGCCCATTCTCGGCAATATCAAAAGTCATTTTCCCCTATATTATCACCAGGTTGCGGTGACACTACACTGGAGTCCTCGCCAGGGCCCCGGGGGGCCGCACAGTGACCCAACCTTGCGGCTCTGCACCCACAGGCCTGAGGCTTCGGACAGCCGCCAGTTCCAGATTGCTCTTCTCTGCTTTCTAGCTAGCCAGGACTTCTGAACCACGAGGACGCGGCGCACTGCGCCCTCGTCTGTTTCCACGCGAGCGCTACCTGCCCTCGCGGGGCGCGGCGCCCGCCCTGGGAGGTTCCAGCGCCGACTAAAGTTCTAGCAAGGCTGCTGGGATCTGGGCTACTTTTCCCCTAAGCCATCGCGGCCACGGACATGCAGGCTCGAACTACATTTCCCAGCGGGCAGCGGTCACGGCGGATCTTTGGCTTCTCCCACTTTCGCGCGGTTCTCGAGCTGTGCAAGGTGAGTTGAACTCCTCCCGGGACGTAAGAGGCGCGGAGTGCCGACAGGCTGGGCTCTGGACCAAGCTAATCAGGGCTGTGGGACGAAGTCTTTACAGCGTGGAAGCCAGTAGTAGGGGTGGCCAGTTGTTACCTTGATCCCAGGCCTGCGGTTCAAGCACCGCAAGGGAAGGTGGTTTGTGTCCGTGGCGCTAGGGGGGCGTGTGCGCGCGTGCGCGCTTGGATGTGCCTCCGTTACGGTGGGTGTGATTGTGAAGTGAAGCTGAGACAGGCGCGTGGCTGTGCTCTGTGACGTGCATTTGGTTGCACGTCCTTTACCTGTGCAGCGATTGTTGTGGCTCTGTTGTGTCATTGTCCCATGGCTCTAGGTTCCCTGCTGCTTCCTTCGTCTTCTCTCCTCACAGCTACTTGCGGCTGCCCCAGAGGGATGGCCGTAAGAAAGAAGTTGGAGGCTGGGAACACCTTGGAAAATTCTTGACTTGGGAGCTCTGAGGGGCAGCCACGTGTCTCAGAACACGGCGTTCCCAGAGATCTGACCGCAGGAACTTGCTGTAAATGTTACACAGATTCCACGCTGTCCTTTTTCCATCTGTTTGTGTGTGTGAGCGCGGCGGGCGTGGACCTAGAGAATATTGTGCAAAGACGTCATCCCGTGCTCCACGTGACGTCCTGTGACTCCCTGCTTGGTCCTGCCGTTCCCCAAAAGAAAGACCCTGATGAGGAGAAAAGAATTGATACATCCAAAAAAAATCGATGTGTGTGTTGGTTTTTCTATCATAAAATCATTGGTTTTAAGACATGCTTTCCTTTGTCTGAAATGTCCTAATCGTGATCTTTCTTCCCAGTGGATGTTGGGTGCTATTCAGGTAAATGTCACTAACATTCACATGCTTATTGGACTATCATTCATACCCTCCTGTGTATTCTCTTATTGTAAACAGAACCCAAATAGATTTAAATTTTTTTTTAAATCTAGAATCAAGGACAATTTACCTGTTTATGATGATGGGAAAACGGAATGTTCAGGATTATGGAAACGTTTAATGATTAACCCATATGGTTGAATATTATATAGCTAATAAGATTATGTTTATACGGAGTTAAACTTAAGGAAAATGTACACTCTATCATGTTAAGCAATATTCATGTTTATCAACAGTAATACCCTGGAAAATGTTAAATTATATATGAATCCCACTTTAAGAAGGTCATATTGTGAGAAGTTTTGCAAGGAGTCCGTCAAAAGTAATATTTTAATTGTTTTGAGGAAGGGTAGTGGTGTAGCTACGTTTATTAAGCATCTATTACCAAACATTTCTTTCACCTTTATGACATTCTCTGATGCAATCTGCAAGTGCCACTTACCTGTATTTTCATTCTCAGTAGACTCTTGGTAATGAAAGTGCTTATATTGAGCAGATGTAACCAAACGATATGCAATGGCTGTAGGTGTAATTTGTTTCCCTTGTAATGTTTCCCTGTGTCATGCATAGGGTTCAGGTTTCATAAATACAAGAATGCACAACCTATTTTAGTTGTTTCTCTGATATTTTAAAATACATTTGTCATATGTTGAAATGTCCTTTGAAATATTTTGTAATTGTCATGTTCTGGTGTTCACATTAATGAAGGCTTGTTGTAAAACACACAGTATCCTAAGGAACTTCTGGTAAAGAAATATAAAGTGCTCTTATTCCCACTACCTGGAGATTGCTGTTAATATATTGTCTATTTAGTATATATGTATTGTTTTGTTTTGAAGGGTATGATCACATTAATTAAGTATAAGAGTCAAACCATAAAGAAATAAGAATCTGAGTTTGCAAAAAAGAGTCCATGAGTTTTATTAGATGAACATGTGAGTGGAAGAGAGAAATGACAGTTTCTGGTTTGAAAACTTTCCAGATACTTACACCTTTTAGATGATAGAAATAACCATTAAAAATTAATTAACCAGGGAGCGCCTGGGTGGCTCAGTCGGTTGAGCAGTTGAGCATCTGACTTCGGCTCAGGTCTTGATCTCCTCAGTGTGTGAGTTCAAGTCCCACATCGGACTCTGTACTGTGAGATCATGACCTGAGCCAAAATTGAATGCTCGCTCAACCAACTGACCACTCAGACACCACTCCTATTTAGTTTTTAATGGCTGCTTTATAGTCTGCTGTCTGTATATTTGATATTTAGTCATCTTGGCTGGACTCAAAACACAGATCCTAGGCCTACAAAATTCCTTCTATGTTGTGTTCACTTCCCATACATGGACCAACTTCAACTGACCCGAGGCCATAAAAGAGCCTCTAATTTGAATGACGAGGCTTCTTTCAGCCTTGGAAGGTGGGAATGACGGAAGGTAGATCCGCTCAGGGAAAGACTAAGCAGCCCAATCTCAGGACTAGATCATCCTTCCCCAACATGAGACCTTGTCCAGATCTCCTGCTCCTGTGTTTGGATGTGGCTTCAATGCCAGAAGTGACTTATTCTGCAACTACTTTTGTGTAGTCTGTTGTCCTGTGACTTGAGAGAGACCCTAGATCCATCTTCTATTTTCCCTAAATTGTGTGTGTAGCACTGGGGGCTAATTTTGGAAGAAGAATGGGGGAACAAAAGTCTTTATTAAATTAAGTCTATTTGGAACAGTAAAACCTTTTTTCTTCTCTCAGCTCTGGATTCTCTGGAGTTTGAATTTTTTTCAATGGAAGAACACTGAGGAGGACTGATGAGGTCTTAACATTTCGGAAACCATGATTTGTGTAAGTTAATGATTCCCATCTCCTTGCAATATTACAATGTTAGTCTATGTGGGTTTATTCATTAATTAACCCAAAGCTTCCTACTTAAGAGGGCTTCATTCAGTTATCTGCTCTACAGTTTGTTCTAAAATTTAAAAAAATGATAGCAAATAGCTCAGTTTCCTCCTAATAAATGTTTGCTATCCAGTGTTTTTGTATTTATTTTCCAATTTACTCATCCCACTTCTATGTTCAGTCTTTAATCAAAGGCCGTGATGGAGCAGCAAAAGAGTGAAGTCCCATGAAGGAAATATTTGAGTTTCCTTTATAGGTCTCTGATTTGATGAAATAGAGATGTTGATCCCATTTAATTACCACAGGTAGACTTTCAAATCCTCCACATACCTGAATTTTCTAGGCAGATGAGAAGGAAATTGGTATCAGTTGGTCTCATTCTTAGTATGTGATGGTATCTCATGTTCTTGAGAATTGTATGATGGTTGGAAACATTTATGTCCTGCATCTTTCTCAGGAATTATTGAGAGACAAATATAACTATTTTGTGGTTGAATGTGATCTGTTGAATGTGGATAATATTTATCTGATCTCCTTCATCAGTGTACACATAGGAACAAGAAAAAATATTGAGTAACTGATGGAAGATCACAGTGAATGAGAATATTATCCTAAGCAGTATAAATGTGTTGATTTCTAGAATTGAAGACCTTTGAAATTTTGTGCAACTGAGTATATAAATGTCAGAGATGGACTAAACCTAAGATATCTATAATAAAATGGATTGTGACACAGCCAAAATTTATTTGTCAAAACAAAGAAAAATACAGTATGTTCTGACAAAGGATGAACTCAATGCTTGTAGAAATGTCACACTTTTTTTTCAAAAGCTTTTTTTTTTAATACAGAAGTTCTTATATTCAATATAGGAGGAATATCCCATCTTCTTTTAACTCTAAAGGGAAAATAATTTAGAACTTCACATTTTTGTGAGGATTTATACATCATACAACTAGCTGGTTATATGATTATGCATTATACTTTATTAAATAGGGAAAATTTTAATTTTATCCAATCCCCAGTAAGTCTGAGTTATTGTGATATCTCACAACCTGCTGTGATTTATCTGTAGAAATAGGATGCTTCAGGAATACGTAGACACTCTGCTTTAATTTTCTACCCCATTTGTACTATATGACTCCCTTTCTCTAATACATTTCTATAATCTTCTGTCTCTACATGTTGAAAATGTTTTTTTCAATTTTGTACTACATGGGTTTGTAGTTTCAGGAATTAGTGACATTCAGGGATGTGGCCATAGACTTCTCTCAGCAGGAATGGGAATACCTGGACCCTATTCAGAGGGACTTGTACAGGGATGTGATGTTGGAGAACTATAGAAACTTGGTTTCACTGGGTAAGTTCATTTGCCATGAGAAATTTAGAATGTGGTATGTTAACTTTGAACACAGTGAATGTTCAAAATTTCTTATTTTGTTCCCAGAGGAAGGTTTGAGGTCTGTCAGTTTGTCAGTGCCTCTGCCATTAGCCATGGTCATTTTCTCTTTTAGTGATATTCACATCTCCTTCTGGCCCTTCTTGTCATTGCCTCCCTTTCTTACTGGCCAAGGGGCTGGACAAAAATTCCTTATATTTATTCCAGAGATAGCTCTTGTCCAAGAAAAATGGTTTCCCATTATGTTCACACTGAATATTGCTATAGATTTGCTATGTCATCCACCTGTAGGTCAGTCATTAGATGTAGATTTGTGATTGGCTGTGACAATGAAAAGACCCTCTATAATTTATATAGTGGTGGACTGGATAAAAAATATTCATTTAAAACTGAAGAGTGTACATTTAATTTCCTGCAACCAATTTTATATGGTTGAAAGTTATAATTCATGAACATGACATTTATAATTGAATATTTTTGTAAGTGAATCAGGGTGCTGCTTGTTTTTTTTTTTTTTTTCATAAGGTGATAAAAGAATTATATTGGGGTGGCTGGGTGGCTTAGTCAGTTAAGCGTCCGACTTTCGCTTAGGTCATGATCATGCGGTTTGTGGGTTCGAGCCCCGCGTCAGGCTCTGTGCTGACTGCCAGCTCAGAGCCTGGAGCCTGTTTCAGAATCTGTGTCTCCCTCTCTCTCTGACCCTCCCTGGCTCATGCTGTCTCTCTCTCTCTCCTAGAAATAAATAAAAATATTAAAAAAAAAAAAAAAAGAATTATAATGGGTGTTATGTTCCAGACACTCTTCCTTGGGAGGGAATATATACACATAATTACAAATGTAATCATCAAATAACCCTGTGATAATAGTATTATCATACCCATTTTACTTGCCAGCATTGTGGAACAGTGTGTTAAAATGACTTCCTCAGTCACAAGGTTGTTAGGTATTAGAGGAGAAAGAATCTGTGCTCAGGCCCTTACCTCCACAGAATGTTCTCAAATCTTGTTAACCTTTCAATCGCTTTGTTAAATTTTCTCTTAAGAGCAAGAGTCTGGGGCGCCTGGGTGGCTCAGTCGGTTAAGCCTCCAACTTTGACTCAGGTCATGTTCTCACAGTTCGTGGGTTCAAGCCCCGCGTCGGGCTCTGTGCTGACGGCTACCTCAGAGCCTGGAGCCCGTTTCAGATTCTGTATCTCCCTCTCTCTCTGACCCTCCCCTGCTCACGCTCGCTCTCTTTCTCTCTCTCAGAAATGAATAAAACATTTTAAAAAATTAAAAATAAAGTAACAATATTATGACTTTAAAAAAAAAAGAGGAGGAGTCTGTATGAGTTTAAATTAAAATAACATTTCATCACACCTGCCTGGTTCCTTAAATCATTGCGTCCTTCTATTATCTGAAGTCTGCATCAGTAACATTTAATTTCGGTTTCATTATAAATTTAAGCAAAACTAAAGATTTGTGTTTTGTTTTTATTTCTGTACCATGTGGCTTCCACCCCCCCACCCCCCCCCACGCAAGCAGGACATTCCATTTCTAAGCCAGATGTGGTTGACTTATTGGAGCAAGGAAAAGAGCCCTGGATGATTTTGAGGGAAGAAACACAGAGACAGTACGCAGGTAAGGAGGGCGAAGGGAGGCTATCAAGGCTGGTAGCAGCTTCCGTGGTAAGGGGGAGGCGTACATCTCCTCGTTGTTTGTAAAGCCCTCCAGGGCACCAAGACCTGTGAAGCCTGGGCTTGTGACCTGAGAAGGAAATAAAGCTCTCAGCATGGAGCTACAGAGGAAACTTCAACTTTATTTACCAATCACTTTATTTCTCTTACATTTCAAACCCATTTTCAGTGACAGGGAATCTCAGTTTTCATTAGTGCAGTATTTTACCTGGATGTTGGATTCAACTGCTCTTCAGCTGCCCTTTTTCATACACGCACATGTCAATGCAATGATAGTGAACATGACATATCAAGTCCCTGGTCTCATGGAATTTACATTGTATTAGAGTGAGGATAATAATAGTAGGTAAACAGATAAATAATATCAAGCAACGGAATGAGCTATGATAGAACGTAAGAAGGGATTGGGCCATTTTAGATAAAGTGGTCAGGGATGGCTTTTCTGGGGTGATCCCATCTAAAAGGAGTCATGACATAAGGGCCCAGGACATGTGTTTGGGAAGGATTTTCCAGCCTAAATGAACAGTTTGGAAGGCTCAGGAGATGGCTGGGGACAGTGAGGGAAAGGGATAAGGAGACTGGAGGGAGGGGGCCAGAGAAAGCTTTGTGAGTTTGAGCAGCACCATTGTAGACCAGAATAGAAGGCCTAAGGGGAGAGTACTCAGTAATGAAGCTACACCACTGTTAGGAGTCAGATCATAGGAGGTTTTGTTGGATTTGAATTGTTAGGAATAAGAAGTATTGGAATAAATTATGTAATCTGTTTATATTTAATTTATTTTTTTAATTCTTATTTATTTTTGAGAGAGAAAGAGAGAAACAGAGTGCAAGCAGGGAAGGGACAGAGAGAGAGGGAGACATAGAATCTGGAGCAGGCTTCAGGCTCCAAGCAGGCACAGAGCCCAATGTGAGGCTCAAACTCACAAACCGTGCGTGATATGATGGTTTGAGCCAAAGTTTGATGCTTAACTGACTGAGCCACCCAGGTGCCCCTTTTTTTTTTTTTATTTAATTAACTTTTTTTATTCTTGTTTTTAAATCTTTAATTTTAAATCATTTATTTTTAAAAGTTTATGTTAGAGAGACTGGGAGAGAGAGAGAGAATCCCAAGCAGGCCCTCCACTGCCAGCATGGAGCCCAATGTAGGGCTCAAATCCACAAACCATGAGATGGTGACCTGAGCCAAAATCAAGAGTCGGCGCTCAACCAATTGAGCCACCCAGATGCCCCTAAACCATTTTTTTAATGTTAGTCAGGGGTGCCTGGGTGGCTCCGTCAAATATTGAGTTTTGGTTCAGGTCATGATCTCATGGTTCATGAGTTCAAGTCCCACATTGGGCCCTGTGCTAACAGCTCAGAGCCTGGAGCCTGCTTCGGACTGTGTGCGTCTCTCTCTCTGCCCCTCTTCCACCTCCTCCTCCTCCTTCTTCTCCTTCTTCTCTCTCTCTCTTTTTAATTTTTTTTAAATGTCTTTATTTTATTTTGAGAGATAGAGAGGGAGACACAGAATCTGAAGCAGGCTCCAGGCTCTGCCAACACGGAGCTCAAACCCACGCACAGTGAGATCATGACCTGAGCCAAAGTCGGATGCTTAACCGACTGAACCACCCAGGGCCCCCCCCCCTTAAAAAAATGAATAAACGTTAAAAAATAAAATGGGGAGGTGGGCGCCTGGGTGGCTTAGTCGGTTAAGCGTCCGACTTATGCTTAGGTCATGATCTCGCGGTTCGTGGGTTCAAGCCCCGCGTCGGGCTCTATGCTGACTGCCAGCTCAGAGCCTGGAGCCTGTTTCCGTCTGTGACTCCCTCTCTCTCTGACCCTCCCCAGCTCGTGCTCTGTCTCTCTCTGTGTCAAAAGTAAATAAACATTAAAAAAATTTTTTAAATAAAATGTTAGTCAAATACAGTGGCATCTTAGTGGCTCAGTCAGTTAAGAATCTGACTTGATTTCAGCTCAGGTCTTGATCTCAGGGTCATGAGTTCAAGCCCTAAGGTGGTAGTGTCTCAAAGAGGGAAAGGCAAGGATGGATGTTACTGACACAGAAGTTTTGTTTAAGGCCAGTTTTTCAATGTGGAGAATAGGATTGGGTGAAGATCAAGATATAACAATGGGAAATTAGTGGAAATTACGTAAGAATTTTGAGCACAAATTATGTTGATGTTTTCCACTGAAGCATTGATGGATTTTTCTGGGTAAGGAACTTCCTGGTAATGAACAATCAAGCCAATTGCCTGTATAAGAAACTCTAGGAAAGTAAAATTGTGCTGTGAAAACAGTGGGACAGTTACATCATGTTAATGTAGACAGGAAGGTACATTCAGGGATTGGCAGTTCCACTTCTCTGTGTCCAGGCTGAGTTGAGGGGAGCATGTCCTTGCAAACACCCTAAAAAGTATGCCTAGAAAATCCTTTCATCAGACCTTATAACTGTCTGTGGAGCAGCCCACTACTTGAGACAGGGCATTTCCCCCTCTGAGACATTACCAAAGCTCTTTAGAGGTGATATTTTCCTTTACCACATAAAGGTGACATGGGTTTCCTGTTATATTAATGAAGGTGACTGGTACCTAGGTGACTCATTCAGCTGAGTGTCCAGCTTTGGCTCAGGTCATGGTCTTATGGTTTGTGAGTTCGAACCCCATATTGGGTTTGCCGCTGTCAGTGCAGAGCCCATTTCGGATCCGCTGCCCTCTTTCTCTCTCTGCCCCTCCCCTGCTCAGAGCCTGGAGCCTGCTAAGGATTCTGTTTCCCTCTCTCTCTGGCCCTCCCCTGCTCATGCTGTGTCTCTGTCTCAAAAATAAATAAACATTTTAAAAAAATAAAAAAATTAAAGAAATGAAGGTGACTTTGGATCCCACCCAGGGGCAGGGGCTGGAGGACCAACTATGTGTTGGAGGGTCTCAGTCCCACCCACCCCCAAACTCTTGGGAGGGGAGAGGGGCTGGAGGTGGAATCAGCCAATAGCCAATGACTTAGTCGATCATGACTATGCAGTGAAGTCTCCATAACAACCAAAAGGACTGGGTTCTTCTGGGTTGGTGAACAAGTGTAGATATGAGGATAGTGGCACACCTGGAAAGGGCATGGAAGCTCCACGCCCTTTCCCCATACTTGCCCTTTCCCCATACTTGCCCTATGTATCTCTTCATCTGGCTGTTGGTTCCTATCCTTTATCGTATCATTTAATAAACTGATTAACCTAAGTACATGTTTCCCTGAGTTCTATGAGCCACTCTAACAAATTAAAAGAACCTAAGGAGGAGGTCGTTGGAACCTCCAGTCTATAGCTGGTTGGTCAGAAGCACAGGTAACAAAGAGCCAGGGGCTTGTGACTCGTGTCTGAAGTGGAGAGTGGAAAGCAGTCTTTTAGGACTGAGCCCTTAACCTGTGGAATCTGATGCTGTCTTCAGGCAGGTTGTGTCAGAATTGAGTTTAATTCTCAGGCATCCTGCTGGTCTCAGAGAATTTTTGGTGCTAGGGTCATGGGAGAGGGGTGTCTCCACTGACATGTTGGAATTGTATCTGGGAAACTGAAAGAATTGATGTCAGTAAAACTATATATTGGCACCAGCTCTTTTTTCATATGCTTCTACACATACATTAACAGACACTTCTTCTTCTTTTTTTTTTTTTTTAATTTATTTTTGAGAGGGAGAGAGAGACAGCATGAGCAGGGGAGGGTCAGAGAGAGAGGGAGACACAGAATCCGAAGACAGGCTCCGGGCTCCAAGCTGCCAGCACAGAGCCGGACGCGGGGTTCAAACCCACGAACCGCGAGATCATGACCTGAGCCAAAGTCAGACGCTCAACCGACTGAGCCACCCAGGCGAACAGACACGTATATCTTAAGGAAGATGTTAGTTGAAGGACGCATTGGGCTCAGTTTAGTTTCAGTGAGTTAAGCACGTGGCCATTCCAACATGCTTCTATGGATAAGTTTACAAATACCTCCATCTCACTGAGTGAAGAGGTTACTTGCAAAAAAACAAACAAAAAACCCCCAAAAACTATATATTGGATAATATTATAACGTCATGAAAACCCTCGGGTGATCTGGGCAAAGGGTTAACAAAACAGTTTCCCATTCTGTATGAGGATTTGGTCTTAGGTTAATTCTCTAACTCTGCTCCCTTAAAAACAGACAAACCAGAATGTGTCTACTATGTTAATCAGTCTCATTATTTATGGTAAAATTGACCCAAATGATGAAGTGTACCTGGCCAGACTGAGAGAACACCATATTTTGGCTTCCTCTAAAGACAGTATTTCTTTAAGTACATTTATCCAAACTAAGAAATGAATGTTCGTACAATACTATTAATACCATTTAATCATAGACTTTGTTCAGATTTTACCAGTTTTCCACAAATGCTTTTTTTTTTTTTTTCTGTTCTCAGATCAAATCCAGGATGCCATTTGGTATTAGTCAAAATGTTTCTCTAGACTTTACCAATCTATGATGGTTTTATGGACTTTCTGGCTTTACATGTCCTTGACACTTGTTAAGAATACAGTTATTTCAGATATTCCTTATTTTGGGTTGGATTGCTATTTTCTGATAAGCACATTTTGTTCATTTTGGGTAACAATCCCACAGAAGGATGGCGTGATCTCAGTACATATTAGAGGGTCCATGATATAGATGTGTGCTGTTACTGGTGCTGTCAGCATTAAACATTCTGTTAAGATACTGTCTGCCAGGTTTCTCCACTGTAAAGTGATTATTTTTCCCTTTCTAATTGATAAACTTCTTGAGGGAGATACTTTGAGACAATGCAGATAACCTGTTTCTCCTCCGGTTTTCACTCATTGGTTTTCAGCATCCACCAGTGTGGACTTTGCTTCAACTCATTTCAAATTTTCGACCTCTTTTTCTATGAGAAGCACATTTTACTATCTAGAATGCAGTATTTGCCCAGTTCTCTTTGCCTTTAGTAGAGTGTC